GAGCCACAGTTTGAAAACGTCCTGTCCTCAACCCATGAAACTCTTGCAACTGTTTAAAACGAATGTGCGCGGCGCTAAAGAGAGAAAGAGAGAGAGACAGAGAGAGAGCCACATTTTGAAAACCACACGCCCTCAATATGTGAAAAAGCTGCCACCTGTTAAGCTTCAGGGTCATAAACGGTGAGGAATTCTCAGGCGAAACGCCCGGCCCGCCCTTTCGACTGGCCTCGGGGTGCGACAGGGAGGAATCACTTATAAGGAATGGAGGAGGAGGAGGAGGAGGAGAAGGGAGGGGATGGTGAGGAGGAGCACGAGCTGGATATGGAGGAGGAGGGAGGCGGAGAAGGAGAAGGAGGGGGGAGAAGGAGGAAGAGGAGGAGGAGGGGGGTCGGAACGAGGACGGGGAGGATGAGGGGGAGGAGGAGGAGGAGGAGGAGGAGGAGGAGGAGGAGGAGGAGGAGGAGAGGAGGAGGAGGAGGAGGAGGAGGAGGAGGAGGAGGGGAGGAGGAACACATTGAAGGCATGAGCGCAGCAGCAGCAGCAGCAGCAGCAGGAGGAGCAAGAGGAGCAGGAGGAGGACGTCTGGGGCCCCGGGCTCGGCACTGGAGGCTCGGCACTGCGAGGCTCGGGCCCCAGGGGGCGCCGTTGGGCTTCGGGGAGGGCCCCGCGCCGTCGCGGCCGGGCTCCCCTCGGAACTCTGGCCGTGGGAGGGCGGAGCCGCCCGCACCTCGAGGGCTCCGGGGCCCCAGGTCCTCGGGAGCCCTCGGCGGCTCTTGGAGTCGGCTATGCGCAAGAGTGACCCTGGGTAAGGGTGACCTTTGGTGCGCGACTTTTTGAGGGCCGCGGGGGGACCAAACCTGGGCGCGCAAGCCGCTGCTCCTGCTTCGTTTTCAGCCATCTGGGGACCCATCTGTGCCCGCACCAAAGGTCACTCCGGCGAAAGGTCACTCTTACGTCTGATCGATGGAGGCCTTCCCGCCCCCGGGGTGCCCGGCGCGGCTGGGCTCCCCCTCGGGGTTCTGGCCGCGGGAGGGCGGATGCCTCCCGCCAGAGGCCACCCAGACGGGGCCCGAGCAGGTGCGGTCGGAGGATCGCGCCGCATCGCCAATGCATCATCGACGCATCGCCGATGCATCGGCGACGCAGGCGATGCATCGCCGCCGTCGGCGTGGCGAACATCGGGCTCCACACCGTGCCGCATCGCCGATGCGTCGGCGATGCTACGCGATCCTCCGACCCCGTCTGCTCCAACCGCATCTAGGAGGCCCAGATAGAGTAAGAAAAAACACATAAACGTGAACTTTCGACGGTCCGCGCGGATTTCTTGGATTTGCGCTGGGCCCCCCTGCCTGGCGCGCGGAGCGCGCCAGGGGAGGCGCTGGAGGCGCCGCCGAGAGGCCCCAGCGCAGATCCAAGAAATCCGCGCGGAGCGTCGACTGTTTACGCTGGTGTGCCTTTATCTTCGTCGACCTGACCTACACATAGGGGGGCACATGCGAACCCTACCCCTACCTTCCACGACTTCTGAGGGGAGGGTGGGGTTCACTTCCTTCGGGAGCTCCCGAGCGAAGTGAACCCCACCCTCCCCCTCAGAAATCGTGGGGGGTAGGGGCAGGGTTCGCATGTGGCCCCATAGGCGTGCGCCCGGGGGATGGGTGGCCTGAGAGAGCTGCGTGTTTTTGAAGCCAGATCCGGCTTGAAAACTTGTTTTTGAAGCCGGATCCGGCTTCAAAAAAACACGCAGTTCTCGCAGCAACACCATCGGCAGCACAGTGGGCGGGAAGGCGAAGCAAAAACGGCACCGGCAGGACTGGTGGAGCGGGAAGTGCGCGCGTGAAGACGGAAGATGGAGGAAGGTGCTGATGACTCGGACTCGATCAGCGGGAGGTGTACACTGGAGGAGATGTGACTCGTGCAGTGGGAAGTGAAGGCCGTGGGAAGCGTAGCTGGTTGTGGAGCGTGTGCAGCGGCAAGAGGTGTGCAGGAGGAGGGAAGGAGAAAGAGGGTGAGAAGTAATGGGGATGGTTTGATCAACTTAGCCTGGCGAAGGACCCAACCATATGCGGGCGTGTGTACCGTAAGGCAGGTGAAACCAAGGAGAGGCCGCTCCTGATAGGGCCATGAAACTCGTGAGAGGTGTACCGAAATGGATGCGGTGACGCCTTGCGAACCCTCCCACTCGGGCCTGCTGTGGAGCTCCATCCCTATGGTGGGGCCGTCGGTGGAGCTGCCTATGAGGCCACGAAACGTGTGTGGTGAGCCGAAATGAGCGCGGTGGCGCCATGCGAACCCTCGCACGAGGGCTTTTGGTGGAGCTGCCTATGGGACAACGAAGCGCGTGATGGGTGTGCTGAAATGGGTGCGGCGTCATGCGACCCCTCCCACTGGGGCCTTCGGTGGAGCTCCCTTTGGGGGGGGCACGAAACGCGCGAGGGCTGTGCCGCAATGGGCGCGGTGGCGCCATTCGAACCCTCCCACGGGGGTCTTCGGTGGAGCTCCCTATGAGGCCAAGAAAGGTATGAAGGTTTACCGAAACGGGCGCGCTGGCGCCATGCGAGTCCTTCCACTGGGGCCTTCGGTGGAGCTCCCAATCGGACTGCGAAAAGTGTGAGGAAGGTGACGAAATGAGCGCGGTGGCGCCATGCGAGCCCTCCCACCGGGGCCTTCGATGGGGATCAATCTAGGGACACAACAACGTATGAGGGGTGTGCCGAAATTGGTGCTGCGGCGCCATGCGAGCCCTCCCACTGGGGCAATCGGTGGTGGAGCTCCCTCTGGGGCCTCGACACATGCGAGCGTTCTGCCAAAATGAGCCCAATGGCGCCATGCGAACTCTGACACTTGGGCCTTCGGTGGAGCTCCCTTTGGGGCCACGAAACGTGTGAGAGGTGTACCAACATGTGCCCGGCGGCGCCATGCGACCCCTCCCACTGGGGCCTTCGGCGAAGCTTCCTATGGCGCCACGAAGCACGTGACGGGTGTACCGACATGGGCGCGGTGGCGCCATGCGACCCCACCCACTGGGGCCTGCGATGGAGCTCCCAATGAGGGGGGCACGAAATGGTAACATGTGACTGCTGGTGGTGATAGTGTTGGTGCTGATGTCGATGAGGCGGGTGGTGGTGATGATGATGATGCTGCTGATGATGATAGTGAGAACGATGATGATGATGATGATGATGATGGTGATGGTGATGATGATGATGATGATGATGATGATGATGATAGTGGTGGTGATGATGATGGTGATGATGACGATGATGTTGATGCTGATGCTGATGCTAATGCTGGTGGTGATGCTTATGTCGATGCTGGTGATAATACTGATGTTGATGTTGATGTTGATGTTGATGTTGATGTTGATGTTGATGATGATGGTGATGATGATGATGATGATGATGATGATGGAATGAGGGTGGTGATGGTGGTGATGGCGATGATGGTGGTGGTGGTGACGTTGGTGGTGATGATGATGATGATGATGAAGGTGATGATGATGTTGATGATGATGGTGATAATGATGATGATGGTGATGATGGTGCTGGTAATGGTGATGGTGAAGATGGTGGTGATGTTGGTGGTGATGATGAACATGATGGTTGTGGTGGTGATGGTAATGTGAATGATGATGAAAGCGAGGATAATGCTAATGAGTATGACGCTGATGGTGACGAGGACTGTGAAGATGAGGCTGGTGATGATGATGATGATGATGCTGATGATGGTGTTGATGACTGTGATGATGGTGATGATGGGGATGATGAAGATGATCATGATGATGTTGATGATGATGATGGTGGTGGTGCCGATGATGATGATGAAGATGAAGATGAAGATGAAGATGAAGATGAAGATGATGATGATGATGATGATGATGATGATGATGATGATGATGGTGATGGTGATGATGATGATGATTATTATGATGATGATGGTGGTGAAGATACTGATGCTGATGATGGAGGGGATGGTGGTAATGCTGATGCAGATGACGCTGATGATGCTGATGGTGATGACGACGACAACGACGACGATGATGATGACAACGATGACGATGAGGAGGGAGGAGGGGAAGGAGTTGAGCAGACGGAGAAGGGGTGACGTGGAGCGCTGCTGATTCAGAGCGAGAGCCCAACATCACAGGATGGTTGGGAAATCGTGGAACGCGTGCGGTAGGAAGCGCACGCAGTGGAAGGCTGCACGCGGTGCGCCGGACGAGGGAGAACGGCAAGGAGGAATAGGGGATGGTCTTAAGTCGGGCGTGTCCCCCTACAGCGGGATTGTCGATGAAAAATAGAAAATACCCCAAAAATGATCTGGGGACTATGTTTTGAATATTTTTTACCTTTTCGGTGCATTTTTGATGTATTTCTAATTTTTCGTCGAATATCCCTGTAGGGGGACACGCCCGACATAAGAATAGGGGATGGTCTGAGAATAGAAGCCCTCCACTCGGGATGCCAGAACCACGAAAGCACGAGCCCCCCTCCGGGAAGTGGGGAAGTCAAGGCACAGGAGGTCTGCGGAGGGATCGAAGACAGAGGACCGAGGTTCTCGAGCGCCGTCTGCTCCTCTCGGGCCTCCACGGGCCTCCCGAGACCTCCCGGAACCCCCAGGCGAATCAGGGGGGGAGCCCGCCCGCTGCCTCCTCCGATCGTGCTCCCCAGACCGACTTGCGTGTATGCAAGGGCTCCCAAACTTCGCGCTTCGCGCTGCGCGAAGCGCGAAGTGCGAATAACTTCGCGCTCTCGCGCCGCCTCCCAGGGGAGAAGAGGAGGATGAGGAGGAAGCGGAGCCGAACCGCGAAGCGCGAAGCGCGAATAATTTCGCGCCGTCGAGGGCGCCCTTGTGTATGCTGGCTTGTTCCACGGTGCTACGATTGCTGGCTTGCTTGAATATTTGCTGCCGGTTTTCAGTGCCTTCACCCGGCCATCTCCTCGATGCCACTGTCTTCCCGCCCGAGGGCGGTGGGTCAAGAACCCAATTCGGCCCCTCCGATCCTCCTCATCAGCGAGGGCAGCGAAAGCTCCCTGTCATTAATGACCAGCTTCGCGACGTAGTCAAGCTCCCCCTTGTCGATCTTGCCGTTGAGGTCCGTGTCCAGGAGAGCGATGACGTCAAAGAAATTGTGGCTCGAGATCCGAGCTACTGCAGATCTAAACGCGTAGCCCAGGATGAAAAATGCAAAGCCCAAGCCAGCAGCCTCCACGACATCGCAACGGGACTGCATCGCCCGCGCCGCCTTCGCCAAGAGGATCAAATATTGGCGGCAGGTGCCGGACGAGCTAAGCTGCCGGAATCTGGCACTGAGAAGAAGGCCTGAGATGGGCTGCCCTCAGCCCTCTCAGCCTCATGCCAGCGTGGCAGCTGGAGCCAAGATAGCTAAGGATGAGGAGGAGGGAGAGGACCAGAGGAAGTCCAGGATGCATCAACGATGCCGCAAAACACACTGCCGCCCCAAGTCCCCGATAGCTTATGACAACAATGTCTTGTCACTACGGCGAGCGCCCACAGGAAAGGTGAGGGTCACATGAGCCTGCACTGTAGAAACGAGCGGATTGAGAACGCAACCAACCCAAACACTACTAAATTGAAAGGAATGTGTCCAGATGGTCGCGCGCAAAGCTAGCACTCGATTCAGCAACAGGACCATCATCGCCCCCCACCCAGGTAACAGCTTTGCCATAATTGCGTATGGTGGTTGCGCATGGGTCCAGGATAGGGCGGTGCTCGACGCAGTTCCGTCATTGAGGTCTTACTCCCATCGCAAGAGTCTAAATCATGGCGCGCCCCCGCAGGAACAGCCCCCAGGATTCCTTTGGAAGTAGGTGCTAACACGAGCTCGTGTTTCCGCCCCCGCTCTTCTCCTTGAGGGGGGGGCTCAACACTGCGACCTATGACCCACGACCCCCTCCCCCACTCGGCCGGCCGCCGACCAGGCACTGTGAAGACCCCCCCCCCGCCATTTCCATAAAGAGCGAACGCGCGCGGCAGTATGTAACATCTGGATCACAGGCGGACATCTCGCAACCACTTTGCGTTGGTTGCTGATGGGGCTGACGGGGTTGACCATGTTCGTCCGCTGCGCGTTGCCTCACGATTCCTGTCAAAACTGACAGTTCGTTGCGGGCGCACGCATCATACGCCATGATCATCACACAACAGGCTGCACTGACGTTTGACAAGGATGGTGGGTGGGTCGACATGTTGCCCGACGTGCGCTAAAAAGGAGCACTAGCCCACGCGGCGCATGAGGCGCACGACGCGTGCCTGGCAGTTTGGGTTCCTGGGTCACCCGGCGCACCTGGTGCGCATGGCGCGCCTGAGACGCGTGGCGCACCTCGCGACAGTCGTGCACATGGCCTGTGCACTCGCTCCCCATGGCTGTCCATCCGAATGCGACCGATGCGTGTCTTCAATGTCTGGGCCTGCATATATGCTGGGGGGGAGGGTGGGCGGCATGCTCGTTGAGAAGTTGGTTTTTCCCCCAATCCCCCCTTCCCCTGGGTCTGGAAGGAAGTGGCCGCGACGCGTACAACATGCCCAAAAAATGGCCCAGACGGCACAACATGTACCAAGATAGCCTCCAACATGGCACAACATCGCAAAACGTTTCCAAATGCCCCCCAAGGTTGCCAAGGATGCCTCCGACAAGCCGACATTATCGAAAACCTAAACAACGGCAGCGTTTGTTGCATTCTCACCTCCTCGCCTCCGATGGGCAAGCCTCCAGATAGTTCCAAGATGGCCCGCAACAGCCGAAAGAGAGGTCCAGGAGGGTTTCGGAACTTCCCCAGCAGCGCCCAAACATGCCCGAAGAGCGCCCCAAGGGACGAATTGGTGGCCGCCGACGGGGTGGGGCGCAATTAAAACCCCGACCATGTTTGATCGATGGCCTCCAACATGACCGCCAGGTGGCCCCAGCGAAAGATCCGTGAGGGTTGCTCGCTGCTGGCTTGTGGCTGAACGTTGCTGAACACCCCCGGTCAAGGCAGCTCGCCTGGCAATGGTTGTTGGCGAAGCGTCAAGAACTGGCCCATGCTGCCAGCGCCTGTGGCGAACCTAGGGTGCACACGCGGGATGCGTCCGCGGTTGCGCGCGAGATTTTCGCACGCGGGTTGCGAACCCTGGCGACGCAGGTCGCAGCAAGAAATCGGACGCCAAAGCAATAATACTAGAGTCGCACAGACAAAAGTAGAGTAGAGAAGACGAAAGTAGAGCAGCAGATAATAGGATGGAACAGAGTATAGCAGAATATAACAAAATAGAGCAGAGTAAGGCAAAGCAGAGCAGAGTAGAGAAGAGTAGAACAGTGTAGAGTACAGCAGAATTGTGGAGGCGATCTTTGGGCGATCTTTGGGGGCTCTTGGGCCGTCTCGGGCCGTCGGAAGGCCGACAAGAAGCAAATGTCCAAGTCCTTCAAAAACCTAAGTAAGGACCATACATTTTTTTCGCCTCTTTTGTCTTTCCTGGAGGCCCTCTTGGAGGCCTCCTGGGCAGTCTTGGGCCAGCTTCGAGCCAACTTCGGCCATCTTGGTGGGTTCCTGGCACGTCAGACGCCGTCGGGAGCCGTCTTGGGGGCCTTTCTGGGCCGACTTGGGGCCCTCTCGGGGCGCTTCGGGGCCGTCTTGGATGCCATCTTGGTCGTCTTGGAGGCCATCTTGGGCGTGTTGGAGGCCTCTTGGGCTGTCTTGGGGCCCTCTTGGGGCCTTCTTGTGGGCCACTTGGGCCGCCATGGGGCCCTCTTGAGGGCCTCTTGGGCGATCTTGGAGCCCTCTTGGGCCGTCTTGAGCCGTCGGAATGCCGAGAAGAAGCAAATTCCAAAATCCTTCAAAAAACCTAAGGAGCATTCATGATTTTGGCCTTTTTCAGGCCCTCCTGGAGGACCTCTTGTAGGAGAGATACAGATTATGATAGAAAAAATAACGCAAAGTAAAATAGTATCGGGCAAGGTAGAATCGAGCAGAGCAGGGCAAAGGAGAGTAGCCACGCACAGTCAGTTACCCCCCTCGGCAGACAGGTGCGCAAGTTTCCTTTGGCACGCGCTTCTTTCCAGCGAACCGCCTCACGTGGCGAGGCGGTCTCCCTGGCGGCGGCCCGAGTCCTGCACCCTGGACGGCAGCTCGCGGCACAGAACGCCGACGTCACAGGCGCACATGATTTGCGCCGCGCATGCCTTCAGCCAGGAGCGGTACGCCTACTGGGTCCTGTCCCAGCACCGTTTCACTAGCGTCATAAGATTTCGTCACATGTGCGGCGTCGGAACCATCGTGGAACCATCGTAGAACCAAGCAGGAACCCTATGAATTCATATGGTTTCGTCATGTTTGCGACGTCGGAAACATCGTGGAACCAATATGGAATCAAGCAGGGACCATGTGAATTCACAGGGTCTCGTCAAACTTGCGACGCCGGAACCATCGTGGAACCATCGTGGAACCAAGCAGGAACCCTGTGAATTCATAGTGTTTCGTGACATGTCAACCTCTCGGAACCATCCTGGGATCAAGCTGGAACCACCGCGATCAGGCGCCGGGACCCATGAAACGACTCGGATCTGCGATCGCGGGCTCGCCCCCCCCCTGCTCCTTTTCGAATGCGAACTGGACGTGGCGCACGGCTCATGTACGCCCCTGCGCCCTGGAGCAGATGGGCACCTTTAATTGGTATTATAAGAGGGCCGCTGGGCCCCGAGCCCCCCCCCCCGGCCCACGCCTGGACCCCCCTCGGAGCGCGGGGCATCGGACCAGGCAGGGCCGTCCAGGGCGAGCGGCGGGACAGTTCTTTGACGTCGCGTCGTGGCCTGAGCTGCCTGCGAGCCCGGCGACCCCGCGACGCCCGCCCTGCCCCCCCAGCCCTGCCCCCCCCTCTGAAGGGGCCCTGGGACACGCAAATAAGTACACACAAGTAACAGGAGTCCCCATATTTTCCAATATTTTCTGGGTTTTCGTCTTCCCCCCCACTTCCGATAGTTTCCCATATGTTCTGGGAGTGGAAGATTAATTGTGTCTGTGTCTTTTTCCCTCCTGAGCGTCCCCTCCGTACCCGACCCCTCCCCAGAAAGCAGATTTTCGGAACAATCCGCACCTGCCTGGGGGGGGACAGCACGCGACCAGCACCGCCGGCAGGCCTCCCACGCCCCAACCCCCCACGGGGGGCGCTCGGGGCGAGGCGGGCGCGTTCGGGCCCCCTAGAAGGAAGCAGCCTGCGCAGACACGGCGGGGAACGCCCACGAAAGAACATTGGAACCTCTTCCAGGCGCCTTGCCATCGGCGAGGCTTGGCGCGAGAGAGGGGCCGCCGACCTCCGCGTTCGCCACGGCAGACGCCCTCGCGGCGGCGCCAGCCGGCTGCCCGGCGACAATGCGGGGGCGGTCGAGCTCCGCCCCGAACTCCCAGGCCACCGCCTTCGGCTCGACGACCTCGCTGACCAGGGCCCCGGACGTCAGCTCGACGCCCCGCAGCGCCCCCGACACGCCGCGCAGCCCCGCGCACTTCTGGGCCACCTCCGCGAAACGGCCCGTCACGTGACGCCCCCCCACCCACCGCCACGAACACCGCCGCACTCTCGAACAGCCAGGCCACTTCCCTGGTCTCCAAGACCTCCAGCGCAACGCCATCGCGCTCCGCCGCGACGACACGGGCGCCGCCCTCCGCCTCGCCAAGCCTCGCGGACGACGCGGCGAGGCCCACCTTCCACTCATTTCCCATGGCTCGTACCCCCTCTCCCTTGAGTCCGAACTGCCTCCAGAGTTCCACGGACCTTGCCTCCTGCTGCACCATCTTCCGCGCGATCCCCGCAAGCTCGACCTCCTTCTGCTCCATGAGCTGCTTGCTTGCGCTCCTCCTTGGACGCCTCCATTCCCAGCAGCTTCTGGCCCAGCGGCGCCTGCCAGGTGGACTTCGGCCCGAGCTTGCCTCCAGCACCGTCGAACAGGCCCGCCTCGGAAGGAAAGGGCGGGACACGGGCGAGCGACGCCTCCCCCAATCCCTCCTCCTCATCGGACGCCTTCCCGCAGCGCCGCGGGCCGCGGCCGCGCCGCCGGGCCTCGCGCGCCGTGCTGGGCGCAGCCTCGGCGCCCGCGCCAAACGCGGCATGCTGGGCCCCGTCGCGGCAGGCCTCGGAGCCGCCCGACGGGCGAGGCAGCTCCCCCGCTCGGGCCGCCGCCGCCTGCTCCACGAAGGACGGCCCCGCGAGGCGCTCTCAAGCGCTGACCTCGTCTCCGACAGCCGGGTCCGTCGCCCCCAAACCGAAGAGCATCTCCGCACCCGTACGGAGGGCAGCCGCAGCGGCGGCGGCGAGGTGCTGGCGCCCTCCGCCACCTGCCGCCGCGCCCGCCGCGGTCGCCCGCCCGAGGGGGGCGAAGCGCCGCCAGCGCCTGGCTGAGCTCGACCGTCGCCATTGCCTGTGCCGCGCGGGAGGAGAAAGAGATGGGGCCGCCAGCACCCAAGGCACGCTTGAGCTAAATGGCAACGGGGAGCAGAAAAGAGTAGAGCAGAGCAGAGCAGAGCAGAGCAGAGCAGAGCAGAGTAGGGTAGGGTGGGGGTAGGGTAGTGTAGGGTATGGTAGGGTAGGGTAGGGTAGGGTCAAGACCCCCTCCCCGCCCGCAAGCCGTCTCGCTCACTCCCACCCGCCCTCCCAACACATACGTAGCACCCGAGTCTGGCCCGAGCCTCAGCATATTCAGCAGTCGTCTTTGGATGGGCAGCTACTGGGGGCCAATCCGCCGCCGCCGCCGCCGCCGCCGCCGCCGCCGCTGCCCGCCGCCGCCGCGCCGCCGCCGCCGCGCCGCCGCTGCCGCCGCCGCCGCCGCCGCCGCCGCCGCCGCTGCCGCCGCCGCCCGCCGCCGCCGCCGCCGCCTCCGCCGCCGCCGCCGCCGCCCCCTGCTGCAAACCGCCCCGCCGCCGCAGCCGCTGCCACCACGCCGCGCCGCCGCCGCCGCCGCCGCCGCCGCCGCCGCCGCCGCGCCGCCGCCGCCGCCGCCGCCGCCGCCGCCGCCCCCCCCTCCCGCCGCCGCCGCCGCCGCCGCCGCCGCCGCCGCCACCGCCGCCGCAGCCGCCGCCGCCGCCGCCAAGTGTACTTACTCTGTAATGTTTTTTGACAGGGATGGTGGGGGGGGCCGCATCGGGTTGGCTGCGCATGTTCCGAATTTGGAGGCAGAGTGTGTTCTGTACTGTTTCTAAGAAAGGGATGGTGGGGGGGGTGTCATGGACCCTGGTTGGCCCCCAGTCGCCTGGGGGGAGGGATAGAGTAGAGTAGAGTAGAGTAGAGTAGAGTAGAGTAGAGTAGAGTAGAGTAGAGTGGAGTAGAGTAGAGTAGAGTAGAGTAGAGTAGAGTAGAGTAGAGTAGAGTGGAGTGGAGTGGAGTGGAGTGGAGTGGAGTGGAATAATAAAGTTGGAGTAGGGTAGAGGAAAGTGGAGTAGAGTAGAGCTGAGTAGAGTATAATAGAGTGGAACATAGTAGGGTAGAGTAGAGTTGGGTAGAGCATAACAGAGTAGAGTAGGGTAGAGTGAAGCAGATCAGAGCAGAGTAGAGTAGAGTAGAGTAGAGTAGGGAAGAGCGAATTGAGTCGACAAGCGCAGAAGAGAGTGGAGTCTAGTATACGATGGCCGATTAGTACACGGAGCTTGTTCACACCGTGGAATGCGCTTAGAAACACACACACACATCGATAATAAAGCACTACTCGTTCCTAGCCCTTCGAATCAAAAGGCGGTCCTCGTGTGTGGCCTCTCGCGGCAAAGAGATATGGTATGCCACACACATCTAATTGAATACATGCCCATTCCGATGGAGAACTCAAGTTGTTCCTCCCCCTCATCTTCGACAAGCCTCCCTCTCAGTTGACGATTTCCAAAGCCGCAGCATTAACGAACCGCTCCTGGGCAGCGCAGAGAGTCCTACCGTTCCATATGTCGATCGTGTATGTATACACATATGCAAAAAAGTGCGTCCCATTGGTTTGACAAGCGCGCGCATATGGCCTACACGGCACTGTCCCATATGGTTCCCATAAGCAGAGACATCAACCGCGCGCTATGAGTTTCTAGAAAATACCCGGGCAGGATCCTGTTGCGCACAGGATGACGTGAGTTCCCATGTCGGATGGGCGTTGGAACCAGACGTCCTATGAAACATGCAATAGGAAATTGCCGGCGCCAGCTGAGGCTCAACAAAGCGAAAGAGACACTTAGTATCATAAAGACGTGGAGCTCGAATTCGCCGACCCGTCTCCGTCATCTCGTCGTCGTCGTCGTCGTCAGTCGTCGTCCCCTTTCCCTGCACCCTCCTTCTCAAGCTTGTCAGCGAGAGAAAGATCTAGCAATGTCGTAATCGAGTCGAAAGAAAGCCCATTCCCTTTGATCCCTCCCCCCGTCGGGGTTGGGGGGGTCCCGGAGGAGGGGAGGGGGTCAGATACGCATCCCCCCCTGGGGGCCCTGGGGCCTCAGAAAGTACCAAGACAAGCCAAGAGTGCCCCAAAAGGCACCCGAGATGGTCCAAGAGGGTTCCCAAATACCAAACGATCGGTCCAAAATGCCTTCACGCCCTCCAGACTGCCCAGGAGGCCTCAGGACGCCCCAAGACGCCTCCAAGAGCACTCCCGAGAGGGCCCCAAGAGGATAAATGCCATTGACTTTCCGTTGGTTCTTTTCTCAAAGATTTGGGCGTTCTCGCCTTTTTCACTTCCCGCCGCTCCAGAGACGGCGCAAGAGGCCGCCAAGATCGCCCCAAGACGGCCCACGAGGCCTCCACAAGGGCCCCAAGACAGCCCAAGGGGAACCCAAGACTTATGGATGCCATGACAATGGACACTCTAACAGTCCCATCATTGAATTAGAAATGTGCTATATAAAAAAACGTTTCAAACATGTTTTTAAGATTTAAAACATGTTTGAAACATGGAAACTATGTGGCATCATGCTTCCTCTCCATTAATCGACTTCCACAACCCAAGACGGCCCGAAACGCCTCCAAGACGGCCAAAGAGGCCCACAAGACGGCTCCAAGAGCGTGCCCAGACGGGGGACCCGAACGGCCATCTCGAGCCCTCGGCACCTAAGAGGGCTCCCGGGAGGCCCCCGAAGGGCCCCCTATGATGCCCCAAGAGGCCCACGAGAGGTCCCCAGGGAGCCCGAAGAGGCGTCCAAGAGGCTCCCAAGAGTTGTGGAGGACGGTCAATGGAGAGGAAGCATGTTGCCAAACAATTTCCAGATGTCTAAATCAAAATTAAACATTCGTTAAACAGTTTAAAGCATGTTTAGAACATGTTTCCGACATGTCAAGCACATTTTAAATTCAAGGATCGGACTGTCAGGGTGTCCTTTGTCGTGGCATCCACAACCCAAGAGGCCCCAAAATTCCTCCCCAGATGCCCCCGAGAGACTTCCGAAGAGGCCCCAAGAAGCATCCCTGAGGACTGTGGCCCACGTCAGCGTCGTCCGCGTTGCCCCCGCCGCCGTTGTCGTCGTCGTCGTCGCCACCGCCGCCGCCGTTGTCGTCGTCGTCGTCGTCGTCGTCGTCGTCGTCGTCGTCGTCGTCTTCGTCGTCGTCGTCGTCGTCTCCCTTCAGGGTCGGCGGCACCAGCCGTAAGGCCTTCGCAATCGACAGAGACTGGCGATACCTCAACATTCTAGTAATTCCACCCACCCAATCATAAAGCTGAGTTCTGTCCTAACCATTCGGATCAGAAGGCTTCCCCTTGCACCAATGACCGTTACAGCAGCGAACGCTGGGATCTCCTGAGATACTTCCCTCCAATCCATGCGCAAGGCCGTGAATGCTGATAAATACGGCGTTGATGGGGAAACTCGCGCAACGCGGGCTGCTTATAGCCTGCAGAATAAAAGAAGTGCGCGAGTGTCCCGCGCAGCACGATCTCATGATCGAGAAAGATTTAAGAAACACATACACACACAAACCAAACACTATACACCAGGGAAAAACACCTAACAATGGAAACTCTGGCATTACCACAGGTGCTCCATGCCTGCCAGCTATAACTGTGTACATGTACACTCTATCCATATATATATATATATATATATATATATATATATATACACATATACATATGTGTGCACTTACTTGCAAATATCCGCCACCATGCCTCTGGGCATCGAGTGGGCGGGTCCTCAGGTCCTTTGCCTCATCCCTGGAGCCTCAGTCCTCAGCCCTGAAACGTTTTTGAGGAGCCCCGACCCAAAATTCCGACACCTACCGGAGCTTCCTTCTGGCGTGCCCCCTTGGCTCACCCGCGGCTTGTCGCATGACTTGTTTGGGCCCAGGAGGGCCTCAAGACAGGCCAAGAGGGCCCCGAGAGGCCCCCACAAAGAGGGCCCCGAGTCGCCCAAAGATTGGCTCAATACGCCCAAGATGGCCTCCAGACGGCCCGAGAGGCCCCCAAGACGCCCGAAGAGGCCTCGAAGAGGCCTCCCAAGAAAGCCCCAAGATGCCAAAATCATTGATTGTCATTGGGTGTTTGAAGGTTATTGGCCTTCTCGTCGGATTTCCGACGCTCCAAGACGGCCCAAGAGGCCCCCAAGACCACCCCAAAGCAGCCAAAGAGGCCTCCAAGAGTGCCCCAAGACGGCACAAGAGCGCCCCAAGACGACCCAAGAGGCGCACAAGACGGCCAAGGAGGGTTTCTAAAACGGCCCCTAAGACGGCCCAAGACAGGAACACGAACCGAAAATCCGAGCATTCCGCCCAAAGAGGCCCCCAGGAGGCCCAAAGAGGTGCCCAGGAGGCCCAAAGAGGCCCCCAAGAGGCCCCCAAGAGGCCCCAAGAGGCCCCCAAGAGGCCCAAAAGAGGCCCCAAGATGCCCCAATACGGCCCCCGAGAGGCCTCCAAACTGCCTCCGAGAGGCGCCCGACAGGACCCCCAGGAGATCCCAGCGAACATCCAATTGCCCCATGCCCACAACACAGGCACGGTGGCGGAATGGGTCGAAGGCCAGTGGATAAATAGTCAACTCTGCCTTGAACTGCCTCTCTCTCTTTCTATATATATATATATGTATAAATATATATATATATATATATATATGTATATATATATGTGCATATATATATATATACATATATGTATATATATATATATATATATACAAATATATATATATATATGTATATATACATGTATGTCTTTCTCTCCCTTGAATGTGCTCTCTATCCTCTACGAGTTGCTGCCTCTACTTTCTACGATCTGCTGCACTCACGTAGTACACCCCTCTCTATATCTCTTCTCCGTCTCTCTCTCTCGTTCTCTCTCTCTCTCTCTTTCTCTCTCTCTCTTTATTTCTCTATCCCTCTATATTTCTCTGTCTCTCTCTCTCTCTCTCTCTTTCGCTCTCTCTCTCTCGCGCTCTCTCTCTCTCTGTCTCTCTC